GCCTCTCTATTCAATTTTCACAAATTGATCTAGATATCACAAATTTTAATCAAACTTTTTATAGAAACTAAGTTTAAGTGCCTTGTTGCATAGTGTTAATTATATTATATATACATGTACATACACATTTGTTTAGCAATTTATTTTCCAGGCTTTGTTCTATCAACGATGCTCATTGTAATAAGCGCTCGGCATATATGTATGTAAACAAATTTATGTTCATGTATGTATATAATAAATGATTGAAGTAATCAAGTGTTTTAAACCATATATGTATATGTATATATGCCCATATCAGATCTGTTTAATTTATGACTGCTCGCCATCCAATACGAGCACAAACAGCGATTCGCTTTCTTTCCGTTGAATATGCATTGGAAAGTAAATATATGTACATATATGTATATAATAAATAAACAAAGCTGTCGACTATATACAGAATTATCAAAGAGTATTAAAAAACAAAAATAATTTGCCACTTGATAAGCAAAGGTCCATGACTAACAATAACAAAACTCAGACACAACGAAGGAAAAGGCATATTTTTTGTTGTTTTTTTACACATTTTTGAACTATATATAATTATGATATTTAATTTGTTTCTCGAATTGCAAGAGTCTTTCGAACTACATGAATAATTTCACATGCTCTGGATTACAAGTACAATGCTTTTTTTTGCTGCCTTTTGCATTAGGACATACGTATGTATATATAATTGAATAGGAAAAAATGATTTCAGAGACAGCTCTACTTGGCATCGGCAAAGCCAACACGATCGTTGCCCATATCGAACTCAGTGTAGTATTTGCCAATGAAGACATCGCCCAGAATCCAGAGGGGACCATTTGGTGGTGGTATATCCATGCCCATGAAGCCGGAGAGGCAAATAGTTTTGCCCATTTGGGCAATGCGCAAAATGTAATCCTTGCCCTCCAGCTCAAAGGTCTTGCCGCCCAGCACGAATTTAATGACCGGCAAATTGGGTATCATGTCACAGGAGACGACGTACTGGAATAGTAAGCAAATATGAAATTCAATACCTCTCTACAAACACATATAAAAAGTTAACCGTAAACAGCATTCTCACCTGTCCACCCACAATGGGGGTGCCACCAATAGCCTGATTGATCGATGTAGCCTCGGCAGCAGGTGCGGCAATTAGCGAGGTGCCCGTATCAGCAATCACCTGGCAGCCACCTTTGCACAGCTCCACATTGTTTATCTGAGCCGAATCCATTTTGATTTGCCAGTAGCCCTTGCGTGTAACAGGCAAATAGGTGAAGTCGCCAGTATAATGATTGGGATCGGAGCCACCGAAAATGATTTCACCTCCTTCGGGTGCCTTGGGATCACGATTCAAGTAGAACGAAAACACCGGCTGTGCGATTAAGCTCTGCTCGAACATGTTGTAGAATGGGGGCTTAACACCATCCACCGATATCGAACTGTAGCCCAATCCAAGGATACCGTCGAATTTGGCAGCGACAAAGACCAATCCGGGTTCACTCAATGCCTCGGCGAATGTTTGGCCCTTGATGTCCAAGCCGGCAATGTTGACTGTATCGCTGGATAGGTAACCCGAGAGACTGCCCGAGCCATAGTGTATATCGAATGAAGTGCCATTTTTGTTGTATGTCGATGATTTGCTGGCATCGTATTTGTTGTGCATCAGGCAAGCGATGTTGGTCAGGTGACATTTTTTGGATGGCACCCAAAGATTAGAGGAGCCCGTATCGAAGACAACCTTAAAATTCTGGGGTGGTGTGCCAATCGATATGGGGCCGTAGTATTGGGCATCCAGGTAATTAGAGAGTGGTTCGGGTGAATCACCGGCGCCATATTTAATGCGCAATTGATGCAGCTCGGTGCCGACATCGGCAAAATGCCGGCGTACAGATTGGAATTTTGTTAACGGCACTCGCAAGAGTTGTGGCTCTGCGGCCCAGGCTAGGGCCAGGCAAGCAGCAATTAGTAGCAGTGTCTTCTGCATGACTACTGCAAGTAATTTAAATGTTTTAAGTTGGAAAATTCGCTCTCGACTGATTGGTTTGGAATCGTTTGTGTTGCAGTTAAGTAAATATTTGCGGTGCAGCAGTGAAAATGATTCAGCAAACAAAATGTACTAAATTTGACCTGAAATACCAGTCGCCGTTTTACCAGGGCTGAATAGCATTTTACATTCAGTAACTGAATTTGTTCGTTTATTGTTGTAAATACTTGATAAATTTTATAATTTTTGATTAAATCTGATACATCCGTTTGTTCTCAAAAGGCTTTTGTAATCATATATATTTATATATATATTTGCAATAAATTGTTGAATTTAATCTAACATACGATATCCAAAAACCGTAGCTCTTTGACTTATTGTTACTTTTTAAAGTGTGCTTGGTAATCCTTCTCTGTGCATATAAAAAGGGGTATCTTTATAAGCAACCATTTTCCAACGTTGATAATTTTGATATAGATATATAGATAGATCCTCTTCAAAATGCATTAGAAATTGCTTAAAGTACCGACTTGCGAAATATAGTTTATGTTCTCTTTTATCCTGTTCAGTACTTGTAGCGGTAAATAGCTACGCCCGCTACGCCTATTAAAATGGTGCCCATCAGAAATCCAATTAGTTTCAACTGGAAATGAAAAGCAAAGATTAGAGAATAAAATAGAACATTAAAAAAGAAAAAAAACGGGAATGCCATTTTTCAGCTTACTTTTGAATTATCTACCAAGGGTGTTTTCTGTCGAACGTTTGTTTTTTGCTCCATTTTCTTGGCCTGACCTAACATTTTCTGGTACATTTCTTTTTCGTTGTGCTCATCTCGGCGCGCTTTAATAAAGAGTCTAGCCAAATCTGACTGTACCGATCGATTTTCCGGCTCCAATGTCGCAACCTTCTGCAACAGCTTGATTGCCCCCTGCGTATCATTCTTGCCCTCGAGCACCTGATAACGAGGCAAGTGGGAGATAAAGCTGTGTTAAGTGCCACGTACACAATAAGCGTTATTCAACTCACCCTGCCCTTTCGATACAGGGCCTTGGGATTATTGGGCTGGCAACGCAGCACATGCTCCACAGACTGCAATGCAGCATCGTAGGCGCCAATTTTGATTTGAGCCATTGCCAAATTATTGTACACAATCAGACGATCTTCTAGCAGGCTTTGCAGATCACTGTTCGATAGCTTTACAATCAATTTGATAAATATATGATTATATTGTTACATTATACATTAATCATCAGTAATTACCTCCATATCTTCTTTGCCGAATTCCGCATCAGGATCACCATCGCGATTATCCAAATAGTCAAGGGCACGTCTATACAGATGTATTGCGTTATTGTATTCCACACGTTTGTAAAAGTAATTAGCGCGCTCTTTTTTCCTCGCACTGCATTTTCAAAATATAAATGGAAGTGATTATTATGAATTTTTAAATTATTATCTAGTATATATTACCCATATTTACGCAGCACATCAAAAGATTTCAAATCTGCAAAGTCTTCGTATTTAACATCAACCAGTTCCAATTCGTAAATCAGCTGGAATTATAAATAAATTTATGTCTTCTCCTTATCTCTAACGGATCGTTGCACTTACATTAGCGTTGGGTGGTATAACAGTTTCAGGTGGATTTTCAGTTTTAAGACCGATGGTGCCGTAGCCGAAGCGTTGATCGATGCTAACTTGTGCCACTTCGCCAACATGCATCATTGGCAGCACCATGTCCAAGCCCTGGACCACCTCGAAATCGCCTACATGACATTGGAAGCGCTCTTCTTTTTCCACAACAGTGCCATCTTCCAGCTTTCCAGTGTATGTTATTGTTACCAGATCACCGCGATTGGGCCGCTTGGCATTGGCGGGTGCCTTTTTAATAATGCGCTTGATAAGCTGCTTATTTCCCAATATATCGCATTCGATTTCATCTTCTATATCTTCCTCCTGTTTTGGATTATCCTCACTATTGCTACTACTTTGCACGGCTGCCGAGTCGGCTTCGGATGTTTCCGATTCATTCACATGGGTTCCACGAATATCGTTGGTGTCATCGGCATTGGTTAGGTCTTCAAAGGAACTGCTGCTAGATTTTTCGATGTCCATATTAAGCTGACGGATTCAAACGTATAACATTGAAACATGGAAACATGGAACAAAGGGCAAATAACCCAACCAACAAATTTGGTCACAACCATCGATACTCACTCTAAATGTAGTGCAATTTGGTACTAATTGTGGATAAACAGTCAGTGGCGTTAACTGTTTTGTAAGTGCTAAACTTTCAAACGGTTTGCGCACTGAAACGACCCAACAATTTTAGAAACTAACAAACTATTTGAAATTATACAGTAAAATTCAGGTTTGGGAATGATTACTTTCACAAGTACGTTTGACATTTCACATTACCAGGGTTGCCAACATCGCATGATCAAAGTGCCACGGCCATGTAATTGAAATTTTTATTCTCTTTGCTAATATACAATATGTTAATTTGTACATCTGATGATTTGCAAATTTCTTTTTTACTTATGGGTAATATTGCAATTAAAAATAATCTTAAGAAAAAAAATAAATAAAAATACCAAGCTACATTAATTGGTTAATTTTGCATGATTTTTATATGGTGGCAACGCCAATCAGCTGTTGCTTTCCGCATTCTGTTTCGTACACTAAATGTTTTGCATTTCAAAAAACATTTATCGGAGTTTTTTATAATGGGTAAAAAAAACAAAGGTGGCGGCAAAAAACGAGGAAGAATACATAAACACCGTTATAAGAAGAACAAGCAGCAATCGCCGCGCAAAGGCCGCAAAGCCTTACTCGGTGAGGTTGCAGAAGAAACAAACACGTGCCCGACAACAGTTGAAAATAAAGCGCTTCCAGAACCCTCTTGCTCCAGGACAACGCTGGAAATGGACGTGAGTATTGAATTGCAATTAATTCATTATTATTAGTTATGCATTAGTTAACGTGTCGGGATTATCGGGGGTTCGTTGTGATTGATTTAAAGGGGGCTGCCGACGCGGTTGACGCAAATCGCATTGCGCAGGCGTCAGTCCCCCAAACACCAACCAAAAAAGAGAAGGAATTTTTGCGAAAAACTCAGCGCGAGTTCCAGAACAAAAATTTCTACCAAATTGAATAAGTGCTAAAATTGTGAAAATAAAGTGGCCAAAAAGTAACTGAAACCACCTAAATAACTACAATTATAAAAAGTTAACTAAACGAAATGGAGCAAATCTGGCGTAATATCTGTGCCCACTATGATGTGCCAGAGGATGTGACCAATGCCTGGTTTGCACGCATCGAACAGCATCTGAGCGAGGACAGTCCCACTCGCGCCTACCACAACTGGCAAGAGATGATGCAGCGCAAGCACGAGCATCTGTCGGACTGTGCTCCGAGTATTGCTCTGGCTGCCTTCTTTCAGTACTATCATTTCGATGGCAATCGCAGCTGTGTGCAGCAGAATTGCGAAGTCTTTGAGGAATTTTGTCGCGATGCCATGATTGAGGATGTGAGTAGCTATATAAGATGCAGATGAACATATATCAATATATGAATGTTTTGAAATGATGTAATGCAGGAGCAAGCCAAATCGCTTGTCTGCAATCTGCTGGGTCGCAAGACACCTGATAATGAGGTCACCTGGTCACATGATGAGGAAGCCAATTTGTTGCAGGATGTCGATTTGGTTGTGTTGGCGTATGTATAAAATATAAGAGTTTGGAATATGCCCTGTATCCAAATGTAGTGAAAAGGTTAGAGCACTTTTGGAAATCTTTGTTACTACGGCTCAACATACATATGTAGCAGGTCTGTTTGTCTGTCGAAATCTCTTGTCTTTGTCTACTTAATAAATGACAATAAGAGCCTATCAAATCTCTTAAACATATTGATAAGGTCAATATATTGACGATACACTTATAGTCGCAGCTAGGCAAATATAAGTTGAGCGATTTCATTGCATTATTAGGAGAAAATAATTTTCATTAGGAAAAAGCTTTCCTGGATACAGCGGTACAAACCTAGTCGAGCACTCCCGACTAGCTCATTTGCTAGGATGAGTCTAAATGCTCTTCCTCTGTCACGTCCAGTGCTCCGCCGGATGAATATAAACACTATACCCAACTCTTACGTCACGAGTACGCCAATCTGGATGACGAGAGCTATAAAATGATGCGTGTCAAAGTCTTGGAGACATTGTTGCTAATACCCAGCATTTATGCGACAGCCGAATACCACGAGAAATACGAGGAGCTGGCACGTGCCAATATACAGAATGAGATACGTGAGCTAAAGCAAAAGTAAGAGTTTCAGTCGTAATGTAGTTAGTAAAGAATTTGGGATCGAGAATGCCCAGACAACAGTATACAATATGCAGCTTTTGTCTACAAATATGTGTGTGTTGCCTTTTTATATAACTAAATGTTGTCAAGAAGTCAAAAAATCGATTTTCTTTTAAATTCAATTGATAAAGAATAACGGACATAGAAGAAGAAGTCAATCTATCTATAGTGTATCATTCGAGTGATATGTACGATCTTAGCTAGCTGAATTTACAAGCGATGCGCCAATCATATTTTTAGTTAACAACACTCTGAACAACAAGATCCTCTGTTAAGTGTCTAACCATAGTGGTATTTTAATCAAAATAAATGTAAACTGATATTGCCATACGTAAGCTATTCATGCGATTCAATAATAATGCTCGATGTATATACATATAATCGAAAAACCGATCAAATTGTAGTTTTATTCAAAAAGCACCTTAAAGTCAACTCGAATAGTGAGCGCAGTAAGTACGAGAAATAAATTTCAATATGTCAACATTTTAAATACCAATTTTAATAAATTTACTTATGTACGTACATACATACATATGTATGTAAACATACACATATTTCTCACCCCACACCAGTTACAATTAAACACCGATGCTTCTACAACAATGACGTCGCAATTCCAAAAGTTTAAGGATAGTTTGGTTAAAGTAAGATATGAATTTATATGTTTACGTTGTTGTATACTTAAATCTCAGTTTGTTTTAGAAGAAGCTTAAGCGTTTGCAGAAGAAGAAATCGCCAAAAACAAATTCGAATAAAAGCTATTCCGTAAAGCTTGTCAATTCCATTAAACGTCGTGCAGTTAACTCACAAAGCAAAAATGCATCAGCCACATCCACAAATAAAGGAAATGTACAACTACAGCAAGTCACAAAGCAGCAGCAACAGAAACAACAGCCGCAGCAGCAAAATAAAATGCCGCAGCAAAATTCATTGCCTAAGCCCACGTTTTATCCCACCGGACAACAAAAATCCGAAGTAAAAGAGGGCGAGATAATCGAAGAAATTGAGAGCAGCGATGACGATGACTGCATTGTCCTGGAACCGCATATGACTAAAATCACTATAGACACAGATGACGAGCCGGACGATGAGTCATCGAAGGAGCCAGTCGCCGCCAAAGTAGAGGAGAAAATTACCGTAGTTAACTTCTTTAAGGTAGATACTAGACGCAGACATCAGTTATGGGCACGTTTTGTAAATGGCACAAGCCAGAATAGCGTATTATATAACACAAGTAATGCGCGTCCATTATTAAAGGAAAATACGTCTTGTATTGTCATTGATGATGGCGGCGATGAGGTTAAGAAAGTAGAACAGAAACAGCCTGCTGCACAGAATTTATTAGATGATAGTGTGATATTTGTACAAGAAGATTTTATACCGCTGTCGAGTGATAAGGATGATGCTGCTGGTGATGGTGTTAGTCCCCAGCGAAAGCGTCATTCAAAGCCGACAGAAGACGGACCGAAAGCTCCTAAAACACCCAAGATGGTCACACAGCGGATGAACGAAGGCCTATTTACCTCAACGGAGCGCAAAAAACTCGCCGATTATAATAGCAATACATATAATCCAGGAGTAGAGTCGAATGCGCCAGTAACTCATAAACGTTCCATTATCATAGATGGCAGCAATGTGGCCTTTGGGTGAGCATTTACTCTTTAGTGAATTACTTGAGTCTGATCTTATTTCTATTCCATTTGCATTCACAGTCATGGTCGCTCCAATATATTTTCTTCGGAGGGCATAAAATATTGTGTGGAGTACTTTGAGAAGATGGGGCACGATGTGAAGGCTGTAATTCCATTGTTTCGACGAAATAGTAACAAATCATCAAATCCTGCCCTGCTCGATCAACTGTATAAAGAGGGCAAAATTGTATTTACACCCTGTAAAAATTTACCCAACCAACAGGCCATCAGCTATGATGATCGGTAAGTCTTAAAATTGGTTTTACTTATAAGATATTTATTTTTAATACTTTTAAATTTTTTATTGCAGCTTTATACTTCAGTTAGCTTATGAGCGTAATGCAGCAGTTGTCTCCAATGATAACTATCGGGATCTCATCAATGAGAATGCGGCATTTAAGAAGATCATTGAGAATCGTGTAATTGGATATTCATGGTGCGATAATATACTGATATTACCAAAGGATCCGTATGGAAGATTTGGGCCACCTTTGGCTGAAATTTTACGTTGTTAGCGTTCATATTCTTTTTCCAATTTTTTGTTTGACGTTAAATTTAGTGAAGTGAAATTTGTATTGAAGTTAAATATATTTATATATTATAAGAATATAGAGATATAATTGAAATGTTGCGTTTATGTTTAGATTCTAGGCGCAACCGAAACAACTGTTGTTGTAGATATAGTTGTGGCGGTTGTCGGAGCTTCGACAATGTCAATGGTTCCCTGATAATGTGGCGGTGGCTCATTTAAAGCTGCTGCTGCAATCAGATTCGGATTGCTGCAACCCAGGTCCGTTGTGATGGTCAGAGTGGAGGCACCCAAGTTACCGTCCTTGTTACAGATGTTAAGCTCGTCGTAGCTGGGCGGTAGATCCATGCCCTTTGGCAATATGGTCATGTCGTTGTTGTCCACTTCAAGGCAAACGCTGCCATTGCCCATGTTAGTGTTGTTGTTGGTGACGCTTATTTCCATTTCACGTCGTGCTGCAGTCATAAATTGGCAAATTTAATATATACATTTTTGAAAAAAAAAAATATAAATATTGAATATTTATGAGCGTAGCTACATATAATTGTATGCTTAAATTTATCTTATCTCTAATTTGTGTTAAATTCAAATTATGATTTATCGACTTGTACTCACTTATCGATAACGGCACAATCGTGCTTTTATCACCCTCAATTTTTGTGCGCTGCATACGCGGCTCGAACAGCTGACGGTTCGTTTCAGTTGCGCGCAGCTGAGCAAGCAGCAACAGATTTGAAGCTGGTTCTCTTTTGTTTTTTACTAATATTTGTGTGTAAGTCTTAACAACAGTCACTAGTAAACAAGCACATGTATTGCAACTAAGAGATTTTTGAGCGCGCTAAAACATCGTAAGTGAAACGCTCTGGCCAAGAAGTTTGGCCCAAAACTTCGATTAGTCATTTATGTAATAGACAACAAATATTACAATTGCTGACGTTGTTTAGCCAATACAAGGTGAAAGTTTTTGGATGGGTAAAATATGTAAATTGTGACTCAATGCAGGTGCAACAGGTTTTGGGGTTAAACGTCTCTGGCAAATAAATTATGGAAATCTATATTAGCAAAATGTAAGGTGATAAATGATGTTTTTCTTGTGTTTTCTTGTGTGTTGCCAATTTTTTGTTGGCAGCTTAATGATGAGTGAAAGTTTACAACGGAGGGCCAAATATATCGTGTTACGTGTTTGAACTGGCCCAGCGATCTACATTTTATCAACATGAGCGGTGAAATAACACTTTAGAGCCTAGCAAAGTTCAAGCACATTGCTTGAGTTTTGAACTGCTCTGCAGTCCAAAGGTTTATAATTTGTCTGAACTAGTTCTTTGGGTTAGAGGGTTGAAATTTAAACGGAGTGACAAGCTGTTGATATAACAGTTCATTGGGCGCAGCTTCAAGTTGACTGGATAGAATATTATTTAAGTTGAGAGTGGAAGAGCTTTCTTGAATCTTAGTTGAACTTTTTCTTTTGGGGTTGAGCAGTTGACACTGAAACGGAATGACAACCTGTTGATTTAACGGTTCATTGAACAGAGCTCGTAAAGTTACGAAAATTCTAAGAAAACTAACACAAACTCGTTTCCATCTTTTCAGCTTGAACTGTGCATCAAATCTGTCTTAGATGTTGCGACGCGTGCTTGGGTTTAGCGTTTTAGGCGCTGGCCTCGTCAGCACTGGCCTGAGCCTCCATACGAATGACTATGAACTTAATTCGCTAGGAATTGTGCGCTTGACGCGTTCCGCCTGCGCTGTGGTCGATGTGGCGCTCACCTACAAGCGGGAGCTCTATTATAAGGAGTGGGACAAGACCACGCCCGAATACAAGGCTGAGAAGAGTCGCGTGCATAAAATCGCCGCTGAGAAACTACTGGAGCTCATCTGCACAAATAAGGGTGTATATATCAAAGTGGGTCAACATATTGGAGCATTGGAATATCTGTTGCCCAAGGAGTTTGTACAGACCATGAAGGTGCTGCATTCGGATGCGCCACAGAATCCAATCGAGGATTTATATAAGGTCATACGGCAGGACTTGAAACGTAATCCCGAGGATTTCTTTGACGACTTCGAGCGTGAGCCGCTGGGCACTGCATCATTGGCACAGGTGCACAAAGCGCGACTGAAGACAGGTGAAGTGGTGGCTGTTAAGGTGCAGCATCCATATGTCAAAGGCAACTCGCGCGTCGACATGAAAACCATGGAGCTGGCCGTCAAAGTGCTGGCGCTCATATTTCCCGACTTTAAGATACAATGGCTTGTCGAGGAGTCCAAGAAGGTAACGCGTCCATTAAAGAGGGATTACAGAGATATTTATTAAGATTTCAAAAATTTTCATTTTAGAATCTGCCCATTGAGCTGGACTTCCTGAACGAGGGCAAAAACGCCGAAAAGGTCGCCGAGCACTTTAAGAAATACAGCTGGCTGCGTGTGCCGAAAATCTATTGGGAGCTGAGCTCATCCCGTGTGCTAGTCATGGAGTATCTGGAGGGCGGACATGTCACGGACTTGGATTACATTAAGAAACATAATATTGATGCCTTTGCGGTGGCCAACAGAATCGGACAACTTTACTCGGAGATGATCTTCTCCACGGGCTTTGTGCACAGTGATCCGCATCCGGGCAACATACTCGTACGACAGACGCCCAAAAACAATTTGGAAATCGTTTTGCTGGATCATGGACTCTATGCGAACCTTAGCGATAAGTTTCGCTATGAATACTCAAAGCTTTGGCTGAGCATCTTGAATGTCGATCGCAAATCCATGCGAAAGCACAGCGAGCAGCTGGGCATCAAGGGAGATCTGTATGGACTGTTTGTTTGCATGGTGACGGGCCGACCATGGGATACACTGATGCAGGGCATTAACAAAGTCAAATACTCCAAAGAAGAGGTAAACTACTTAATTGGCCCCAGTTCCGTGTGTTAATTTGTCTTATATATGATCCGCTTCTCTTTCTGTTTTGCAGAAGAACACACTGCAGAGCAACACGTCGCTGGTGCTGCCCCACATTTCGGATGTGCTCGAGCAGGTGGATCGGCAAATGTTGCTCATACTGAAGACAAACGATTTGATACGTGGCATTGAGTCAACGTTGCGCACACAGAACCGCATGACCGCCTTCTGGGTGATGTCCAAGTGCTGTGTGCAATCCTCCTACGCGGAGCAGCTGGCAAAACAACCGGAGGCAGCGAAACGCTGGCAGTTGAGGCTACGCGAACGTTGGGATCTATTCAAATTGAATGTCTACTACCTCTATCTGGGGTTAATTAACTTTGGATTTCTAGCGGCGCTCAAGCAGGTGCTTTAGCTTGGATAGCACTCGAATTGAAGTACAAATTAAAATGGGATAAATGCAAACAAAAATGAATTACCTCGTTGTCTCTGCAGGATCAGGCGGCGTTCGTTCTCCCGACGCTTGCGCTGCGTGGAGCTCTAGTTTGATGGTTGTTTGAAGAGTTAAATTAGCTCATCGATTATAGATAGATATAAGATCTTAGCAATATGTTACCACTATAAAAGCCAATGGCATCAGCATGACAAAGAGAACAAGTAGCACAATGTAGAACGTATAGCCCGAATAGAAATACACATAGTCCGGCTGTGGATAGTAATAGGGATAGTCTCCTGAGTTGCCATTGGGAAACGGTGCAAGTGTGCTGTTGTCGTTATATGAGCTGTTCATCGAGCTCTGGATTGTGGCAGTCGTTGTGGACGCCACTGAGGCAGTCACTGCCGTTGATGGCGTTGCAGGTGTCATTCAGAAATATTGTTTCTACTCGTTGTGTCCGCTCGAATTGAACTGAAGCCCCCCAAATTGATGGGCGACCGACCACTCATCCATGGGTCAGGCTCATGGTTCACATGTTTGCTTTGTAATCATTAGCTGATAAGGTTGACAAAAAGAAAAAAAAAACAAGTAAGAAGGCTCCAGTCGAGACGGCTCGACTAGGAGATACCCTGAACCCTCCAAGCTGATATTCTAATCATTCTGCACTTCTTTTATGCACACATACATACATACACATGCATCTACACGCACGCACAAGCCTGCGCTCTGCTAACTGCGCAGTAAGCAGCGACTGCGCTTGGGCGGCGCTGCAGTGTGGGCAATATTATGAGAATTTATTTGTTGAATAATTTCTTTTGTAGACATACGATCTTAATGAAACTTTTAGAGTGTAATCATATGGTGAATATATGCGTACATTCCAAAGCACAAGTCTCTAGTATTTGAAATGCGTTTTTTACAAATTGGGGGAAAATGGGGCGTGGTATCCAAAATCTGTAAATCACAAAATCTTTGTATCGATTAACTTTATATACAACGCAAATTTGAAGACTCCAGGTCTAAAAGTGTTCAAATTAGGCTTCAAAAACAAAATCAATTTTTCGATTATTCTCGATAAAAAAGTTATCGGACGATTTATCGAAAAAATAAAGCAAACTCGTACTGCGTATGGTACTCACGAGTATGCATGCCAAATTTCAGCTCTCTAGCTCTTATAACTTCTGAGATCGACGCACTCATACGGACGGACGGACGGACGGACAGACGGACAGGGCTATATCGACTCAGCTCGTCACGCTGATCAAGAATATATATACTTTGTGGGGTCTGCCACGCCTCCTTCTGCCCGTTACATACTTTTTCACAAAACCATTATACCCTGATTTCCCATTTTCAATGGGTTCAGGGTATAAAAAGGAGAAGCAAAGCAAAGCAAAGCACTACCTAGGCCGGGGGCTTAAGTTTGGTGTGCTTTTTGCCTGACCCCCACCCCCCGGCTGACATCAACAGGGCATAGCTTTATCTAATGAGGCGCTATGATAAATGTGTGCAAATGACACACAAACTGCGTGAACGTGTATCTATCCAACTATCTATATATATACAAATATTTTATATATTTAAGATATGTGTGTAAGATATCTCCATGTATGTGTTATTGCCTGTTTGTATGATTTATAGCAAGTTTTCCATTGTCAAGACGTTCCCTGTTTTTATTATATTTTGTGTTCGGGAGGTGTAATATTTACTTTAGGCATGGACATCCATTTATGTGAAAGACTCACGCAACGGAATGGAATCATGTTTAATTAAAGAGCTTGTAGCTAGCCATAAATGTATAATTTATAAAAGTGGAGCAATTTTTACTATAATTTATATGTTAATATGTTTCTAATTGGCATATATTACTGTTTATACAGGACTTGCGAATTATTGAAGCTAACAAATTTAAATTTTATTAAATGTTAATGAATTATAGCTTTGAAAAATTTATAAATATATTATATATTTTTAAAAATTATATTAATTATTAATATTTATGAAATAAACAAAATTAAAATTATTTTAAATTTATTATTTAGAGTATATTTATGATTCTTTAAAATTTCAATTATGCCAATTACTTAAGTTTCGATTGTATGCAAGAATATTATATTAATTATACCTTATAAGTTTTTTGGAATTTCTTTAAATATGCCTAATTACTTGTGGTGTAATTAAGCCTGGAGCATAATTCCTAGAGTATTTTCATATATAAGTTAAGTTATCTGAGAAATTAGCTACGTATTTTCATCTAGTACGAATAGAAATTATGTATTTTAGTTATTTAAGTAATTAAGCAGTTAATGTTAATTACTTTACAGTTTGAACTACCAATTTTAATTACTTAAGTAATTAAGCATTCAATTTTAATATAACTAAAGTAACTGTCGAGTCAGAATTTGATTATTTAAATAATTAAAGACTAAATCTTAAATACTTAAGTAATTAAACTGCTTTTGCCCAACTCTCCGAACATAGTTTAACTCCAGCTTGCATCAATTTTCACGACACTCACGAACAAAGAAAGACAGACACGATTCACGCCCATCTCTAACAATGTTGTCGATGGCATAAGAGTCTAGTGCAAATATGGGCGATTATGTTTGCTTACCTTGCTCACCTTGCGACATTTCCTTGAGCTGCTTGAGCATATAAAACCGATAGGCAATCATAATCGACTGCAATTGCAATGTCAAATATAATATGAGCAATTAATAATAATCATAATAACAGTAATCACATTAAGATATTCACTTACGCGTATGATGAACAGGCAGAAGCAAACGACGGCCAATATAATCAGCAGACTCGACGAATCCATTTTTAATGCACTTTCTTAATTGTAAGCAATTATTTACGTATTTCAATTTCGATTGTTTCTTTCAAAGATTTGCAGTAGCTTGATGATTCACGGTAAGCTCTAGCGCATGTTTCACGATAAGATATGAATATGGATACGCTGATATATATAAATATAGATCTACATCTACATATACATATATATGTATGTATATATAGGCTTCTATTTGTTTATTTGCGTTGTATTTGATTACATTTTAATCAGTATTTCAAGAATTATATATCACCACAAATCGATTCGCTAACTAGCCCCGCTCTCTCTCTTTCTTGCACTCACTTTCCAGCTATCACTCTCGCTCGCTCACTCACTCTTTAATTGCGTGGGCGCTCGCTTAATTATGTGAGGACAACTCGATGTGGCCTGCGGATTGCGAATGGATTTAGCTGCCTGTTGCGTGCTAATAAAAATAATTAATATTATTAAGCTTTTCTATGCTCTGCCAACGGGTATTTTCGTTTTTATCAACAATCTCAGATAACGGCACATTTGTAGAAGAATTATATAAGTTTAGCTTGTTCCCTTCGTTTTTCATATTTTTCTCAAAAGCTGCTTTGTTTTTCAATACATTTTTATTCAATTTGTTATTTAGCTGTTTTCTGATGCTATTTAGCTATAGCTAAAATCTTTTTTTTTTTTTTTTTTTTTTCGATCTACTATATTTCTAGCATTGAAACAGACTGGAGTAGAAGCCATGATCTTAACAAATGAACAACACCGTATATAAATAGATCAACTACATATAATCAATTCTAAGTGGAAATTTTATAGATTTTTTTATAGACTTTCTGTCTATAAAGCTATTTTTAGAATGTGCTCTTATCACTCATTGTTTTGCTCTTTAAATGTCCCGTAAGACTTACTATGCCATAGCTCATACTGTTCTAGTTATTAGCAAATCAGATGATATATATTCCAGTCTAACTTTTCAATTGTAATAGTCGGCTGCCTCTTTAGAGAAACTTCTGCAGAGCTCCTTCTTCTATACTAATTAGCTCTCCTCATTGCTGCTTTCCCCCTCACAATAGCATAGCAATAGCCCTTCTTAGGGTATTTAGTAGTTCGTTCAAGCCTTTGCTCACTTTCAATTCTTCTTCTTCTTCTGCATGGCATTGCCTTATCTCGATTTTTGCTCTGGCGGCCTTCTCTTCACTTCAATAAGCAGATTGCATTCCGCTTTTTGCCTGTTTATGGCTTTTTGGGTTATCGCTGTGCAAAGCCGCCAGCAGGCGAGACGTGTTGTCTGTTTGGCCACGCCCACCAACCCACCCCCCTACTCACAGATGTATGGCGAATTGCGTAGACATAGCAGCCAGCAGTTGCAGTCGTTAACCGTTAATTAAAGTGAATGGCCGCTCTGGCTTTCTGGCCGAGATGCACCTTGACCTGGCCCAAAGCCATCAGCACACACACACACATAGCCATACACCCACACACACACCGACACACACAGCCTCGCATATGATTATCGCTCTTTTGTGCATTGCGCTGGCTGAAATTTTCGCCGTGTTGCGGCTCATTTGCATAACGCCGCGGCTCGAACATAAATTATGGCAGGTGAGAACGAGCACCTGGGCGCACGAAAAAAACAATCCTTATGTTCTTGTTGTTTCACTTTTCTTATTATTGCATTATGCAGCGTGTGTGTTGGTGTTGGTTGCTGGTCTTTATGTGTGTGTGTTTCTGTTTATGTGTGTGTGGGAATGTGTCTGTGTGTGTGTGTGTCTGGCCTTCACTGTGTTTGTTCTCTTTTGGTTTGTGCTTTTTCACTTTGCGTCTAGCATTAAGACAAATCGTTTTAGACTCCTAAATTATGCTAGAAACAAATAGACTGGAAAAAATGTGGAAAAACTGAAAAGAAAACCATTTATTAAAAACAAAAAAAATTGTAGGCGAACTCTGATTAAACAGGTTTTTAAGAAAAATTAAAATATGTATGGTAAATAATAGAATATCTTTATCTCTATTTGATAAGCCAAATGGAAACAGAAAATATCTAGGTAAAAAACCATAGACCATTTATTAATATTACTCTATCTGAAACTGAGGACTTAAATTTTTATTTATTTATTTATTTTTTTAAATAAAACTCAATAATCATTGATTTTCCGAACATATATATTTCGATTTAAAATCAATAAATTATATTATAAAGAAAAAGCACCAGACACGAAAAAGTCAAAGTTTTTTCATATTTCATACAACAATACGAATCGCTCACAATAAATATATATAGTAAATATGTATATGTGACTAACACCAATTTCATTTATTTATCAATTAATACTTTTTTTTTTTTTTTACTATATTACATTCTAGATTACTAAATTTGCTATTATTAAAACTTGGCACAGTATTATGGAATAAACAAATAAAAGAGAATTAAATAAAGGAATATATATTATAAATATAGTAATATATGTATGTATATATTGTATTATTATATAAGTCCGATTATAGTTTTGCAACAATTTCTATTTGATTTCAATTCTCATTTATAACTATGTGTGTATTTTGGTTTGCATTTTCTTTTAAATAAATAAAGCTTTGCTCTTCGCCTGTTGCACAACATTTAAATAAAACTTACACACACACACACAACTTGAGTGTGTGTGTGTTTGTTTGCTATTTGCATGCAATTAACATGCCTCAATTCAATTGAAATTTAATTAGCTGACATTTTCATTTACGTTCTGTATCCCTATATCTGTATGTATGTATGTGTGTACGTATGCATATATATTTTTATTTTCCATTGATTTATTCGCTCGTCTAACTGCAAAAGAGAAATTGGAAAAAATATATATTATTTGTTTACTCAATTGCAGCGTAGCATAAATATCGTGCGCATTGCATCAACATTTGTTTTTTTTTTTTTTTTTTTTTTCATATACATAGTTGAATTTACGCAAGGAGCACGTATTTACATAGAGGAAGTGTGAGTGGGAGGCAATTCATATCAAATAATTTCCCTTAAAGCAATTTCCCTTTGATATGATATGCCACAGATTTACATACACATACATACATAGGTATGCATATTTGCATATTTCAGTTCAATGCGCTATGAAATTTTTAAAAATTACAGCTAGATATATTCTGCCCGTTGCTCGCATTGTTTCTGGATTTTGTGGTACATTTTAATAATATTTACAAATACAAATAGATTTTGTGCTTCCATGAGAGCAAACAGCATTGCATAAATATTATATATATTGTATAAATTTGCTTTTGGTTCGTTTTTTTAGACTCTCATAAAAAATGAAATGTCAAAGGTATTTTTTCTGTTTGGGAGACGCATAGTTAGTGGGGATGAGAAGCAGCTCTTGGCATAAATAAATTCCCCCTTTCAAAAAATTTCCTTTTTTACCTATGCCCAAATATGCAGAGCATATTTTAATGTTAAGCCTAAAAGTAAGCTATACAAAATTTTTAATTCCCTTTGATTTCGCATTGTTTGCGCATTCTGTGTGACATTTTAATGAATTTAAATGCGAATGCTGTTGTCTTGTTAATAGTTGCCTGCTGCTGCTATGTGGTTGTTGTTGTTGTTCCTAAGCTAACAATGTTAACTAAAATGTCAAACATATAAGACCTTAATCAAATATGCACACACACACACTCGCACTCACACTCACATAGTTTGTAAGGTAAACTGTAGAGCAAATTGTGAAAGAAACACAAGACACAAATCAATTTGCATGAGGATTGAAACTTTGTAACTTGCCGCAGCCGAAACTTTGTTTAGAGTGTGTGTGGGAGTGTGTTAATGTGTGTGTGTGTGTCTAGCAATGTCTTAAATTTGAAATTCAAATTTATGAAATTGCTGCAGTTGAGGAGCACACACACACATACAGACACACATGTATAAAAACTAATATATGTATGAGCATACCTCTCTCACACAGGCACACACAGACACACTTGCTAATATATGTATGGGCATTTCTCTCTTCAGCTTTCCCTTTCTCGCACACACACACACACACACAAATTTGTGGCTGATGCCTTTACAATTAGATGGCATAGCATGCTTTTTCGAGCGCCCCGCTCTCCACACACACACACACATGTCATAAAAACCTTTTTATGTGGTGCAAATTTTATGAATAGTCTGGCAACTCCAGACCCCCACCCAGCCCCCTCTTCGACTTTGTGTCCATTTGCTTGTTGTAAGTCGTTCAGCTGGAATCAAGTTGTTGGCACAATTAGTGTGGGCGTGGCGGCTGCTGTTGTCTGCCGTCTGCCGTCTGCATGGGCGTTGTTGTTGGGGATGGGCGTGGAGGCGTGTCTGTTGCGGCTTTCATTATCGGGTACGTGCCTCATTTTGCCCATGAATAAAGTTAAGTAAAATTAATTGCGTAGCCGCTGGCACCAAAAGTGTGCGAAATGTTGCCGCTTTTGTTTGCTTACTTTTTTGATAACAACAACATCAACAACAACCAAAACAATTGTAGCAACAACAGCAACAACAATTATCACAACAGCAGCAGCAGCTCGAGGAAAGTTTTTGAATAATTTCATTAATGTATTTGGTAAAAATTTTCTGGCGCGTGAGATATTTGCAAGTAATTTGCATACACACACGCGCGCAATTATAGCATCTGCTTGTTATAATTTATAATTAGCTCAACAAAAATATGAACAGAAAAAATAAATTTAATTTTTGTTTATTTTGGGCAACAAAACAATCAAAGCCAAGAGCAGCGCTACCTTAGCTGGTTTTAAGCGGGGCTTAATAGAGTTATTTGTTTTTTGGGCAGATTTCAGAGAAATTTTAATAAAAACCGTAAACAACAAAAATATTTTGAAAGTTTGTTGATTGGCTAAAACAATGGCCAGAGCGCGAATTCTATATAATTTTTGGAAACTCAGCATATTTAGTAATCCAACAATATTTACTCTTTATAAGGTATCACAACGTTACCCAGTTTGCTTGCTTTGTTTATGGGGCAACATTTTTAATTATACTTTTTAGGATATTGGCAAAAAAGTTTGCACTCCAAGCAGATTGAACAAACAGAGAGCAACAAAAATGAAAATAATAATAGTCAAGCGGTCGAGTTATGGCCCAGACCTGAAAAACAAAGCAAAATAATAAATAAAAAGTATATATATATATAAACAAAAAAAACAGGTCAACAAAAATGTTGTACAATAAACTTTAATGAATTACAATTTGGCAGCGGAGCAGGAGAGCTGGGGCCTGTAAATCCTTGAGCAGACAGCAAAAAAAAAAAAAAAAAAAAAAAAAAAAATGAAGCAAAATGTAAAAGGAAATGAAAATATGTCGACGGAAATGAGCATTGACGCCATTGCTGCTCCTGCTGCTCCTGCTGCTATGCCTGGCGTATTGGGCATTCGAGCTTTAGAGACTTCCAATAGGAATCGCCCAAGTGTGCGTATGTGTGTGTGTGTTGGTCAAGCCAAGTTGCCTTGGCGCTGATTTAGCTCGAATAAGACGAGTGGGGCATTAAGTTGCCGTTTCATCATTGTCAACAGTCGCAGTCGCAAAC